CACAAAAATTAAAAATATTTTCATATACTTACATTGGAATTATTCATATCTGTTATTAGTTTTTCATATTGTGCTTTAGGTAATCGTTGTTCACTATCAACTTCATATAATTTAGCATCAACAACAATATTTTCATTTCCTTGTCCACCAAATCCAACAACAAAATCTGGTCTCATATTTTTTGTTTTACCTGTTTTGGGATCTATATATGCTTGGTTACTTGTCGGATGTATAATTTTAATATTTTCACCGAATTCAGCTGCCAGTCGGCTACCAGCTTCTTCTAATTTATCATGCGTCAATTGTTCAAACTTAGCTGCTGTAGATTTACCATCATAGTTTTCTTGCAAATATTGATCGTTGTGATAATCTCGGGTTTGACTGTCACTGCCACCAGGTTGTTGTAGCTGGACCTGTTCATGACCACCATTAAATGCCATAGTTGCAGCCGACGAAGAATCATCTCTAGTGAACAAATTTGAATCCAATGAATAATCGCCCCCAACCTTTAAATACCATGCAATGTAATCTGCATTTTGATCAGCCGTTTGGATTGTCATATTTGTCACTGAAAATTAAACTTAAGCCAGGAATATTAAAGCGGAATATTGCGTTTTGAATTAAACTTATGCCACTGACGCTTCAACAAGGAAATGTAAGAAATGCTTAGAAAAAAAGTTAAATGTAAGGTAATGATCAGTCCCACCATATATAGTCTAGAAATACAATTTTTTCCTGCTCAGACATAATTAATATATCCATGATCAACATTTGTTCTACTTTTCCTTCTTTCCAGTTGGAGTGTAATATAAAAACCCATTTCTACAAAAAAAAGCCATAGCAACAACTTTGCACATGATGGTGTAATAATGTATTTTTGTTTCGATTACTGTTCTCTAATGAGTCAAGCTACAGAGTAGCATATTTTGGAAGAGGATAAAAAATAATGAAGGCAGAAGGAAGCAGTATCTGCGCTTTCAAGTTAATAGTTTGTTTCTTGCATGTTACACTGTTAAAAATCTGTGTTCTTCCGTTCTTTGGTGAACATGGTGAAGAGCATGAATGTGCTCTTTGAACACTGGAGAACAGCATATACGTTCTTCAGCCTATCTTCTCGATTTTCTGCGTCAGCAGAGCTTTTGTTCTTTAAAAAATTAGTTCTTCATTTCTGTAAAGAAAAAACGAATTCTAATTCTTCAGATAACATAATTTTTGTTCTCCTGCTTTCTGAAGAACGTAAATCATATTTTTGTTCTTCAGAGAACAAGAATCCACAGTCATTAAAATATTTGTGTATGAAAAATTGTATATCAGCGCAAATTGAGGAGAGGCGATGAACGCGATCAAATGGTAATAGTGACTACCTTCTACAAACTTAAAACACTAAACAAACAAACGTTTTTTTACGAACTGCATGATCGTCCTTAGCCTCTGTCGAAATCTTCTCTGGCAAATCATGCCGTTGATTTCTGGATGATTATCCTTCTTTCAGATTCTATTCTACCGTCGTTTTACCTGTTTGTTGTCACTTAAGCTATAGACAAAATTTAGAAGTAGAAAAGGAGTTCGAGATTATGAGGTGTAATTATTCTGTTTTAGTCTTCCTGTTTGACCTTCAGGCTTTGCTGATTATCTCTTCTAGGATATAAGATCGTTAGAAGAAAATAAGCTTATTAGCACATAGTGTTTTCAGATTCATTCGTCAAATGTGTTTCCTAATCTAACTTATTTGTTCCATTTGAAGGCTTTTTGAATTCACGTTTCCGAGAAAGATCCATTTACAAGAATGTTGCTCTAATCAGGTCGCAACCAGTTAAGAAGTAAGTGCAAACCAGTGTGAGCTATAAATAAGTCTTTCAAAAATATGCCCACATAATAGTCGATATACTTGGCCGACGTCATAATTTTCACCTATCTTAAACACACCTTTAGTCATTTTTCTTGTGTGTAATAAAAAATGGCATATTTTTCGAAAACATACCATTGGATAGCCCTTGAAATTCTCTACAAAGTAAGCTGGTCGGACCATCTTTCTATGTATAAAACATTCCGGTTTTGAGTAGATGAGTTCAAGAAATATTCCTTTAAAGTGCTAAGATAGGTGAAAATGATGATATGACTTCTCTATGTTACTACGTATGAGCTTTGCTCAAGGACTTTGAAATCGGACGAGGAATTCGCGGAAAAAGGTAAATGACTTTTGCTGAACTGGTGGCGAAAGATGAAAAGTAATTTTTGTCTGAAAGACACGAGAAGGACTTTTTGAAAGTGGGAAGTGAAAATGGAAGCATTTCCGATCATTTTCACTCAAAATCATATTGGGCCATTTTTCTAGCAGAAACCGTACCCCGTCCTTTAATTTTCTAACTTTTATCTGTCGCGCTCCATTTTTTACAAGTCGGTCTTCATAGTGAACAACGGTATTTACTATTTTGTACTATGAAGAACGATTTCTGGAAATCTGGTCCCTGTTATGGCACATATTAAAGACGTGCCATAAGAGACAATTGTATAATAGTCATATATATATATTCGTTCTCTATTCTTCTGCTATGGGTATTTTCTCTTCTTGTCATATATGTATCTGTATTGTTCTCTTTCTTTCTATCAGGAAATTTCCCAGTAATATCTCTTGGTTTCGTTCTGTAC